CGAGATCCGCGGATTCACGAACACATCTTGGCAAAACGGAAGTCGGTGTGGCAAAGCCGCAATTGGACGATGTTGGGACGTGAGGAGGTGCAGGTGATGATGGGGATGCGGCGACGAAGCGATCAGGAACAGTGTTCTGGTCCATGTGTCAGTGCCAAGCTTCACGCCACGACACTACGCCAAGCTTCAGGGGTCCACTTCGAGCAAGTGGTCGTGCGCGCTGCGGGGAGGAACCAGCAGTTTCGTCACCTGGTCATCTGGGTGTTCGACTGACAGACGACATGAAGCTATCGCTGGCTCAATTATTGGTGTATCGACTAGAATACTTTCTTTGATCTGCTGCTATGTATGTAAAAAGGCTAGAGACTTCTTCCGAGGAAGAGCGGTCACGGGGAATATCTACGATTTGACGCAACAAGCAAATGTACATCGCATACGGCGATCATCTTGGTATGTATCTTGCCGAACGGGACTAAGTTCATGCATTCACCGGTGGTGCCCTGCGTGATCCTACCAGGACAAGCGTGCAGTAGACTCAGGCCTCTTAGTCCAGTCCCCATGGATCTTCGAAGCCAGCAGCTGACTCGACGTCTTCCAGATCTGGTAGATCATCTAAATCGTCATCGTGGCCATTTTCGTCCTCGTCTTCGTCCTCGTACTCGTCTTCTGATTCATCCCCCACGTGAGCATGCATAGAGTCCTTCTCGTCGCAGATACAGCAAGTACATTCAACGTGCTCACCCTGGATTCTCTTCCACTGGCGGATCATAGCTCGTCCCAAACGTTCTCCGAGGATGCACTCGCCGTTCACGTACACCGAAAGAGACCCGTCGCGGTTCTCAGCGTAGCCAAACTCGTCCAGAGGCAGACCCGCAAAGTCAGCCGCCGAATGGTCCTCCTCGTCATCTCCGTCCTCGAATTCCTCTTCTTCTTCTTCGCTGTTATCTTCGGCGTTCTCACTGGTGGCATCATCCTCGGTGCCCTGTTCGAGCTCTGCGATCTCGCCTTTGCACCAGTTGCACATGACTTTTGGCATGATGTCTGGTGTGAACTCCGTTCCGCAGCCACACACATGAATGTGGCCTTGTCCGACCTCGCTTGCTTTTACAACATGGCGGCGCAGCTGTTCATCAACGTTTACCTCCTCGATATAGCAGTGCATACACAACCATCGGTCTAGGAAGCGCTTCCGTAGGGTGCAGGAACAAGGCGCGACACCTTGATTTTGGCGTTCCAGGTAACAGGAAGGGCATGCGAGGTCTTTGCGCTTGTTGACGGTCAGATTGAGGAATGAGACGATGTTATTGCCAGAGTAGGGGAATTGTGTACGCCCACGGGGACTGATGAACTGGTGGGTGCCCAAATTCAGATCGAGAATCGGCTCAATCGGCTCGGGATCGCCTAGAGCACCGATATTTAGGGGAATATGCACGCGGCCTTGGTCATGGCGAGGTAGCATATCCTTGACAGGTAGATGCCAGGCGCTGCCATCGGAGTTCTTAGGTGGATATACTGCAACAGCCATGGGGTTGAGGAAGTAGTAGCCTGCCCACCATCGACGCTGATCGAGCCCAGAATCGTCTGTCATGAAGTTGTAGAAAACATGGATGCGGCACTCGTCGCAAGTGTTGACACCACATCCCACACACGGGTGTGACTCTGCTCCAAATCCACCTTTCGGGCAAACCATCACAGGATGGAATGTCTTCGCTGGACAGGGGCAATGAGTAGACATCCTGACGAACGAACCGAATCCGGAGCACAGTGTCTTGGAAAGAAGATTGGCCTTTGCGCTTGCATCGTCCATGCGAATGTGGCCATGAACAGTTTGGCAGAGCTGAGTAAGAGTGACGAGCCTTTCCGGTACCAGGAGCGAGACTAGGGCCTGCAGATCGGAATTAGTAAGGCGCATAGAGTAAGAGGCTCACAGACGTATGCCTTACCTCTTGTATTGGGTACAAAGCCAGAGCGGCCGCGAGGGGATTGGTGATATTTGACACCGCCGGCGGTAGCGTCCAGGCGCGCTGCGCTGTCTGCTGCACTGACGACATCGCACAAAGCCTTCTTGAATGCTTTCAGGACTGCGGAGTATTGAAGCAGTCGCAATCGCAATAGAGCACGCCTGCACTGTCTGGCCTTGTCGAAAGGATCGTTCAGGTACGTCTGTTCGATTGAAGTTACTTCCGCATTGCAGGGGCGCGAAAGAGGAAGACGGGAGTGAGTGCAGAATTGAATCAGGTAGGTACCCGAGTGACGTCGTCGCGTAGTAAGAGCAAGAGAGCTCTGGAGGCAGTCGCACATGGCACGTGCGCCAGTAGCAAACAAACACCATATCCACCGCCAAGTGAGATTAACAGCTACGGTGTCATGCCAACCTGGGGAAAAGACTGAACAGGTCTGCAGCCTACATTAATACAGAAACATGCAGGAACCTAACGTTGATATAGGCTCCGGGCCTGTTCGGATTTTTTTCATGTATGCGTTGCCACGTTCAATTCGTTTTTCAGCTACCTAGCCACTCCAAGTGAGACCTCATATCAGTTGAACCTGTCTCACCTAGAACTGCATTGGTAACTTACCCCTTATCATACACTTCCGACATTTCCCACGATCCCTTTTAGAAGCTCAGGGACCATGACCGCGGCATCACCTTTGAACATCCAGTCGCCCGCCCAAACGCATCCAGGCTCGTCATAATACTCTTCTATATTGAAATATGCGACCCTCGCACCAGCGTTCCGAGCCTTGGGTATATACATCGCCGCCGGAAGGACGACGCCACTCGTACCAATTACCAGCAAGAGGTCGAGAGGTTCAGAACAGACGAAAGTGTGTATAGCCTCGGTGAGGTTGCTCGATAAACTTTCGCCGAAGAGTACAACGCTCGGTCGCATGAGGCTGTCGCACCGTGGGCAATGAGGGAGCTGGGTATGATCGAGAGGAGGCAGAGGGACGGACGCGTCGCTGATGTCGGATGTGATCGTGAGCGCCTCGGTGGCAGGATAGGAGACGGGCGTATTGTATTCGCAACGTTCGGCAGAGTCTGAGGCGTGTTTGCTGCATTTCATCTCGAACAGGGTGCCGTGTACTTGCGCGACCTGCTCGTCCGGTATGCCCGCTCGTTGACATAGACCTAGGTATTGTTAGTGGACATTGTTCCGGCCTCTAGCCTTGAGAGCATGCTTACCATCGATGTTTTGATTGATTGCGAAGAATTCACTCTTTTCCTTTGCGAGTTTCGCAAGCGCGATGTGCCCCCGGTTTGGCTTTGCCTCTTGCGCGCGCTTCATCCGATCGCTGAAGAACCACCATACCTTCACCGGATCTTGCGCCAGCGCATCGATGTTCGAAAGCTCGTGAGGCTCCATACCTCTCCATCTTCTGTCATCGCCGCGAAATGTCGAAAGCCCCGAAGCAACCGACAAACCAGCACCCACGAGGGCTAGAACACGTTTCGATGATCGCAGGTACTGTGTGAAGGATGTGAACTCGTCCATGTCGATGTCAAGAGCCGGGTCGGGGGTGGAAGTGCCGCGAAACTTGCGCGTCTCTTGCTTCGCTCGAAGTGCTGATGTCGCCTTCGATTTGGTAGTAGATGATGAAGTCTGAGGCCTTCGAGGCGGGTTGCGGTTGATCCCTCCGAGCGCAGTCGCCATTTCCTTGGTATGGAAACTACTTTCCGCTGTGGAAGATGCGTCGCTCGTCATGGTGTTGGGTATGCCGTTGATGCATAGTGAAGCCTTTGAGCAATGCACCTAGGTATACTGAGTGGACGCCTTACAATGTTTGAGATGACTCATATGAGCTTGATGTATCCGCGCACATCGCATTGATCAAATTGCAATGACTCTGATCTCTACCTTAGCATCGTTGGGTACATTGCAACGCTAATCTGCCGGAGGCGTCTGAGGTGGTAACCTTGGAACGCATCTATGCATAACCATGGTAACAGTAGTGGGTGCGCGATGTGTGTTTGTAAGGTGGCTCACATCTCGTTTCTCTGGAAGAAGGAGACCTGTAAAGTCGAGAATATCTGAACAAGGACTCAGGTCATGACTATCGGTCGTACGTGATCTGTAAAGAGATGCGCCGCGTCGGTGACGCGTGAACTCGGCAAGCTCAACGCGCCCGTTCCAGGCGCGCGTCAATCAGCATCCGGAGATCATGGAAATCTCGTCAACCGTTAAGGAATGTTGCAACAGGTGTTGTACCATTAAGCTGAACGTCGCAACCGTACAGTGTTCGAATGAATTTTGCGAGGCCTGCCCGTAGTGTTCGAGGTGCAAGCATGCGCGGTGCGTGCGGGCTGAGAATGGCGCCTCCGCGGGTGAAATACACTAATTACGTCAGCGACGCGGCTGAATGTCATCCGACCACCCTCTTGCCGGTACGTCTCATCACCTCCCTGAAATATGCATCAGCCATTTTCTTCTTCAGAGTTCAGTCGATCCAAGCCCCGTGAATTACACTTCGACGTACTCTCTAGATCCTAACGACATGATCAACACATCACTATGATACGCGTACCACCGACCCAGCCTCGCATCCCACGCCAAAGCTACGACGATAGTGTCCTACCGACCGCCCTACAACACAATTACGGCTTATTATTTAAGTGGCGACTACACCCAGTGGTAAACGGCGGCAGTATCGAGTCCGACCAAGTGGATAACTGTTTGCTGCCTCTCTCCAATTTCGCCTAAATTCTCCACCCTTCCCAGCGCGTTTGCGATACGTTCACACTCATAGGCTATATCAACATTGATCAGCGTGGGAGAAAAACATTACATGCAGGGACATACGTACAATCCAGATTGCGGAAGTCTTTTGCTCGTAATGGAAAGTCGGCGATAGGCTCATTCGTCTTGACGTCGCGCATATGACCCATTCTCATCTCAGAAAGTTTGTATGTACTGTGATATTGGCGCATCGCGGTATTCCAGATACTGACACATACTTGTTAATACATGTTTCGATTATTTCGAATCCTCCGACATCACTCACTGTGCCTGAACCTGTTTGTTGAGAGCGACGTAGTTGTGATTCAATTGTCGTACCTTTTCGCATACATCGCAGACTTGCCCCAGCATATATTCCATAGCTTGCTTGATGGGTCCATCGCGTTGAGTCTCTGGGAGGGTGCCGATGGCGCGGAGTTGGGCAGCGGCTGCCTCAAGCTGCAATGCGATGTCGTAGGGGTTGTTCTCCATGATGGCAGTGGTATGTTGACGACTTCGATGGGCGAGTTCGAAGTGGTCTCTAGTCACAGTGGTATGTTGACGTCTTCGATGGGCGAGTTCGAAGTGGTCTCTAGTCACCGAGGAGTCGATCAGCCTTTAACAGCAACTCGAAACGTCTGTGCTTCTGCGAAAGGATATTCGCGGGCTTTCCAGAATGTTCAATATTGCGCGCTCTCTCTCTTCGCGGCTCTTGGGTGGATCAACTTCTCGATCCCCTGATAATCGTTACCTCACGTCGACCAAACATCCACTGAAGGGTCTCTTCAACATCATCTGCTCTTGTATACCAACTCCAAAATGCGCAACAGACAAGCTGAGCTCGCCTTTCTCGAGTCGCAGCTACACTCTACAGTCGGTCAGCTGCAAGCCATATCCATAATCCCTTTCACTACTAGTATGGAGTCCGCAACAGTCCGCATCGACATCAAGAACATACAGCAACGCCTTCTCTCCCTCGAAAGAACGGTTGTAGGTCTCCACGACAATGTGTTGCGTCTTCGGGCTTCTATGGATGCCGAAAGTCGCACACTGTCTGTTGTGTACAAAGATTTGTTGGTCAGAAAAGCAAGGTGAGTGCGCATAACGCTTTGCTTTATTGTCATACTAGAACTTGATAGGGAACACAACACACACGCGACAGCCTATAATGCTCAAGCCGACCGACATACGATTCTGCTATCTATCCACAATCCGAGGACAAATGAGCCCATTCGTGGTTTTCCCGAGACTTTGGAATGTATTGACAATATGGGGGGTAAGTACAAGCTGTGGCGTGGGCTATCGACAAGTGCGAAGCTGACCGGTCTCTCTTGCAGATCAACAGCTCGAACACTTGATCCAAGTACTTGACCCCAATCATTATCGAGGCTCTTGGACTCTTGAACAAGAGCGAGCACGGCTCATTGCTATTATCCAGGGGGTCGAGGACGTTCAACCAGCCGAGCCACTGCCTTCGAGGACTTTGGAGCATCAGTCACAAGATTGATAGCAGAATAGGAAGAATGAACTCCATGCGCAAGTACATAGCCGCCATGCCGAGTCGCTGGTCACGTTGCAGGAAACAGACAGTTCGCAGACTTGGATTTCGAGATACATAACTACTACTACACGTCTTTGTAGTCAAATCTTTCGGGGATTCCGAGATATATCAGCCTGTACCCAATTTATAGACCACCTCGTAGTCTGTTAAAGCTCAGCTGTGTAGTGCTACCCAATGATAGACCCAGTCCAAAGATGGGCATTGCAGAATGGCATATGGCGCCGAGCGAATGTCAGATCGCGCGACCGTGACGATGACCCTGTAAACGTACGTCCTCGGCAGATATCTTCTTTGCGCAAAGAGGAATGAGGTCCTCCTCAAGCATGACAGACTCCTTGGGTCGGGCTTCTTCTTCCGGCTAGCCACTCAAACCGGTAATGAGAACTTGGTACTCTTCGCTCAACTTCAGGAACTTCTCCAATACAGCAATGTCGAATTTCTTCATGCGTATACCCAACTTTAGTGCGGAAGCAAGGTTCTTCTTGCTGTCCATAGCGCATTCTTCAAATCCACGTAAGTTCTTGTTCCTTTCCAGAAACGCTTCCGGTGACTTGTAGTACGCAGCAAAACGATGAGCTTGAAGCAGCGTTGGAGGGAAGTCGATTCCATTGCGTACGCTTTGGAGGGCGTCGTTCTTGTTTTCGCGAATTCGTTGCTGAAGATCCCTGATCCCGGAAATCTCGTGTATCGATTTTGGCTGTGCTGCATTGTACTTTTTCTCTGCGGCGTTGATGTCTGCGAGGAGTTGGCCGGTCGCTTTTGTGAATGCATCCCAGTTGGCGAAGCCGGAGTTGATGATTGACTTTGTCAGGTCGCCGGTCAAGGCATGATATCGGTCTTCGTCAGACGTTGTGGGGGTAGCGGCTGGATCCGCACGATGAACTGCGCGTATGCTGCCACGTCGGGCGACTTTGTTGTGGGAGATGGCCATGGGTTATGGATGTGGGATATGGATGTGGGATATGGATGTGGGATATGGATGTGGGATATGGATGTGGGAGATGGTTGTGGGAGATGGACGTGGGAGATGGTTGTGGGAGATGGCTGTGTGCGCCGAAAGAAGTAGTCACATCTGATGTCGCCGCATAGTCTCTGAACCATGGTTCTTGACCAGTTTTGCAGTGGAAACGGCGAACAAGTCGAGCAACTCGGTATACCTTGGTTCTACTCGACAAAAGAAGTAATCTTTTCTGTTGCACAGCCAATCTCCTCTCTCGAATGTATACACATCCAATGCTATTGCATTCGGGCTCCAGATATGGGAATTAGTGTCGCCGTCAGAATGCTCATTGTGCGCAACTGCCCTTTGCGCCTGGCTGGGCTACCCAATTTGCATTCGCATGGGACTTCGACTTGGTGACCTTCATAATGGCAAGGTAATTAGCGCATCGGTCATCAACCGCTCCCAATTACATGGTCACTCACCTCCGGCTCGCGGTTATCCTTAGTCAGCTCTGGTCGTTGACGTGTCGGTAGCAGTGACGACAAATCTTCGCTGATGTTGACATTAGCCTCTCCCCTGGTCCAATAGGTGCTCCACGTTACCAAAGATGTATTCTGCTCCATGCGTGTTTGCATGAATTCATCATCGCTCAACTTCTCTCTGCGCAGCTGCGCAAGCTTTCGCGATATCTCCGGACCTCTTCGTGCGCAGACTACTACCCACTCTCGCGACCTCAATCTGGGAGCTCTGCGCAGCCACCGCGCTCATAGGCTGCGTACGCGGCTGCTCGGCTGGTTTCCAGATCATTGTCCAGAGCTCGCTTGCCAGGTTCATCGTGTAGTCGAAAGCGCCTTCCAGTAAAGGCCATATCGGCTGGTGATGCTGGTGGTCCATCGCGCGCGGTCGGTGACGGCCTCGGATGCGGATTTTGAGTATCTTTTTTCTCTTGGTCTCAAGGTGTGCCAGAATATGTGTCTTGTGAGGATGTTCGGCTACAGAAGGTGGTAGAAACGCGCCGAGAGATAAGGTCACAAGATAAGGGTCTTGATATGGCATCGCACTGATTGGAGCAGCGCGGTGGGTCCAGCAACCTTTACAGTTTGTATCCTCACAAACCCCGCAGGTAAGGATCGACCGCCTCTTCCTGTCTTCTTCTGTCCGCTATTGCACCGCGCTGATCATAGCCCATGCCGGTAGTGTACGCGCTGGTGATGTGCGGCCACTCCTTCCATCAGACTCACCGGCCCAGCATCGCGCCTGTCGTCGCAAGAGTTGAGCGCGACTGCAAAATGACTACTTTCTCGTTGGCAACTGCCTGAGCAAGGCCTTCTTGCCTTCGCGGCCCTTCCCGTTTACCCTTGCCGCACAGCTTAAGAAAGAGAAAGACCACGTTGGTGACATTGGTGAAGGGAAGTTGAGCGGATGCTGAGATTGCTATGGCACTTACCCAGTAGTGAAATGGAGATGCAGAGAGACGAAATTCGCAGCTGGATGAACAGGTTTTATGGGGTAAAGGTAGTTATGAGATCAGTTGACTCGATGGTGAACATGAGGCCTTAAAGCGTATTCAAGAGATCGGTTCTTCGGAAAAAATCCCATGTTCAGGAAGCTAGCGAGGTGTCGCGATGAGATAAGATGAAGCCGTGAGATACATACGGATGCTGCTGGCCGTTCGCGATGCCTATGTTGAGATTCAGGCTCACGGAATTGAGATGACAACTGTAGTCAGCCGCTAATTTCTTTCCGTACGTTATCATGTCTCTGAAGTCACGACGCGTCCGTAGAGATTGAATATTGGTCTGGAGAACACAATGATGGGTCCGCTGGCCAAGGAACAGACCAGTAATCAGTTTTAGAAGAATGTCGTGGATATACTCAATGGGTGGAGGAGACCATAGCAACACCGAGGACTGCAGTCAAATGCAAGCGCACGTATAAAGAAAGCTCCTTAACGTGATGATGGAAGAAAGTGGCTGGGAATGTCCGCTCTTACGTCATGCAAAGCACGGACATTGTCCGGAGATGACTCGGATCAAGCTCGAGATTTTGGAAAGACAAAACATCATAACATGACATCTCGGAAACTTCTTCGCAAAGCTTTGCACAACGCAGCGCTATGCACCTAGACGATACATCAAATTGATGAACTATGCGACGCGAAGGTACATAGTATCTAGGCAGAGGACGAGGCGATGCGGGTGCTTACTCCGGTGGCAGCATCGGCCGGCGGTACCGCTTCTGAAACGCGCCATCGTTTGGCCTGATGTCTCAGGCATCAAGGTCGGCCCATGATAATTTATGGCAAAAGCTGAACACTGGGCATCGAAGTCTCGCACATGTTCTGGTGAGTTACTCCACATACCGAAAGGAAAGAGCAAAAAACTTGGAGAAATGTCTCTGTCGACGGAGTTGGACTTGCGCCTGGAGTGAGCAGTGTGCGCCGATCTGAACTGGTGTTCAGTTGCATCACGGCAATGGCGGGTTATACTAATAGCAGGCATGCCAGATTCTATTCGCCTACCGGCGCCGACCACCAGCCGTACGTCGACACCATGGCTATACCACCAGAGGCGCGGATCGCAGTGGAGCCGCTTGAACCACTCTGGCAGCCGTCAGCCGGCTGAATATTCTTGGTAGCGATCGCATCAGCCAACGCTGGACCGCAAAGAGAAGGAAGAAGGGGCGCGACCAAAGTCGAGCAAGAGGATGTTAACGGGGCGAAGTTTTGTCAGCATGATCGATGCCCGGAAGGATGAAGAGGCTCTCACTGCTGTCCCCGGAACCAAAGTCTACGCTGTAAGAAGCGCATCAAGAACAACATGCACAACAGTGCCGATCAACTCGGGAGATTCGTCGCAAGCCCAACACCGTTGGGACTCTGGCACGGGAAGCGAGCGTTGCCAATAACACCCCATCACTAAGTCTCTCAGCCAACAGCGCGTGCACGGCAATGTCCACCTGGCTATAGCCGCTGTCTTATTGCGCGGCGAATAATATATGACAGCGCATCGTGATTGTGCTATCGTCAGCGTTGGGTCACTATCGACCAGGCTTGAACTGGATGGCGAGTGTGTTGGATCGCTCGCTACCAGATCAGTCCCGCAGCTTGCCTCCGGTGAGTGATGTCTCGGTCAACCCGGACGCGCGTTTGCTCAGCGATGGCCTTCATTGCCGTCGGATGTGCCATAGGGAACAAGAGACGCTGAGCGAGTGTTTCCGCGGCTTGACTGCTGGCACGGCGCTGCTGCAGTGTAAGTGGGTACCCTCGAATAGCGTCACGTCACTGCCACGACGCCGCTGTCTGCTAGTACGCGCACCCGATCATCCTGAAGCCATTAAGTGTGGACCCTTACATCGTACCCACGCGCCCTTGATGACCAGCCGCGAGCTTCTCCGGGTGAGGGTGTGGCAGTGAGATGTCCTTGGCTGGCGAAGTGGTTCGCCTTAATGAAAACCTGGATCTGCTTTGGTACTCGCTTCTTTGACCTGGAATTTGGAAGACTCAGGAGAGGACGCGATGCTGCCCCTTTTCGCAGCGACAAGCAGCGAATCGTCCTGAGGCACTGGTCTAGCTTCTGTCCTCTCTGGTACTCACGGATCCTACCTAGAAAGCTTTGAGATACCTGTTCAAAACATGTATAAGCGAGACTGTCACGACTTATTCCAACCGAACTCCATGTATGCGGCGTCGACACCCGCCTGACTGTAACCCTTCGTTGTCACGCAGCGTCACCCGGGCTACCAAACCACCTGCATGCTGTGATCTAGATCACGTATCGGGTAAAACCAGCGACGACACGCCTCATGCACGAAGTAACAATGCTACATCTACTGGTCAAGAAGCTATCTCAGTCGCCGTGCCCTTGGGAATTCACTGTTATTACGCATACGCGAGCAACGCTAAAGGTGAATAACAACAGGTTAATGACGGCAGTTGAAACGTCGAAAAGACAGTCGTCCGCAATTCCAAGGTAATCAAGCGCGGATGATGTTAGTAAAAAGCGCCTCACAGTGTCATGTTATGCTGGAAGTTACACTCACGATGCCACTGATCATGTGACTACGCCTTCACGATTATCTTGCGGAACTTTAACATCATCCGCGCTCGCTTACGTACAAAGATACGAACGGCATCTTCCATGGGTCTTGCGAAATTTGCCAAGCGTTTGCGCAGATACCATGCTCTGCCGTTGTGGGAAGCGGAGCTATATCAGCTCCGCATATAGCCTATGTACCTCGCCTCACGGGCGACCCGAAAAGAAGCAACTTTCGGCGACACTATTGGCTACGACTCCACTTTCTATTTTTCACAATCGTCCAATAGATTTGCGGGCCGTTGGCGGCGGAGCTGGCACACGCATCGCGCTATGTTGTGGGCTACAGCTTTGGGCGCGTCATCAACACTTGACAGCTCTGCGGCGCACAAGATCGTATGCGACACACAGAAGCAGCAAGAAGAGCCGGTTGCTTCGAAACCGGCCGACCATCTACCGGGCTCCTGGATTGTTGCCTCTTGCCTCTCTGACAGTGCACCGAAAAGGCGGGATGCGGCGACGGCACGGTACAACGCTCACTGCGCCGGAGTATTACTCGCGCCCGTTCGATATATTCCTTCACCGATTGACAGGGTACTGCGCACATGCAGGTGTTCACAGCGCCGGTGCAGCATCGCGCAGCAAGGCACCGAGCTAGCAAGCCCTTGTTGTCAATCGCCGCCGCGGTGGTGCGATGCATACATTGACGCTTGGAGGTGACCGGTCAGGCATCACTTATGGGTAAACCTCGGTGAATCTTGTGAATATTGAAACACAAGTTCATTGACAGTTCAAGTATCGCGAGAAGCAGATTACGATGGGAATGACGTAGTCTTCAATGGTCGTCGAAGGAAAGGATGCGGACCATGAGTGTATAGCAGCGTTGGGCTCAGTAAACCTCCCCACATCAGCAAGTACACCTACGCCTCACGCGTCAATGCCCTCGATCTGTTGAGACGCCTCTCTGCACGATGAGCATGACTAGCGAATTCAGCATTCACCAGATCGATGGCCGCGGATAAGCGAAGTCATTGCCAAATTGGGCCTTCAGCCAACGGCCTCCACCTCTACTCCGGAGTACCTGCCGTTACTCTGTAGTTCTCCCCACATCCCGATGAAGCCTACACCCGCGATGCATCTCTAAGCGATGTCTCTCGGTAGCACAGGTCCTCGTCGATCACGAGTACACGATCTCCGCTTTCCGCCTCGCAGTTACTTCGTTATCCATCATCAAATGGTAAACATAGCAATCGCCACCTCAACATCTAAACATGAAACGGCTTTCTTGCCACTGCCACATGGCCGACGAGGATGCCGTTACCAGCAAAAAGGCACAACGTGAGGCTTCCCAATATCCACTGCAGCGGCGTGTCGATCCTTGATGCTTCTCTTCCGCTTTCGCCTTCGGCGTATTCCGTTCGTGACCTCCACCCTCTGCGTTCGTCGGTTAGATCAACAGTAGCTAGCTCCCGAAAGAAAGCGGAGTACACGTAAGAAGGAGATCGCTACTGCTACGGCACAGCTGATGAGCAGAAAGGGAGCATCCACAACCATGGGGGGGTGCGGCATAGGCGCAACAGGCAAGGGATTGCACGGTCAGGGTCCATGGAAAGTGTAAGCGAGAGACATGTGTGCCTGCGCCCATGGCAGTGGTCACGTCGGAAAAGCTTCATCATCATAATCATCATCATCAGCCCATCGGGTGGATGTCTTTGGCAAGAGATCGTCCTGCACAGGGTCAGCAAAACTTCCCTCTCGCCCCGGTTCAACCCCAATCCAGCATATGCCTGCCGCGGCATGCTCGTTGCGTGCGTGTGGCCACACCCGAGCTGGCTGCTAAGGACCAGGGTCGTCTTGGTACGGGCCAGTAAACGACGAGCTGGGTGCTCAAGAGGGAATCTTACGACAGGGTTCGTCGGATCGTGCTGCACAAACGGTCACTACTGGCTCGGGATTTGGACGAGTCGGATGCAAACCAGCGCATATCGTGAACGCCCAACTTGAAGACTTTTTCTTCTTCTTCTGCTCCATAGACTAGTAGGCAATAGTCGCGAAGCTAGGCGCACGTTTTATAGGGTACTATAGGTGGTTTGTCTATCATCAACCGGTGTGACCAACGTCCAGTTCGCGTCGCATTCACTACTCTCCAAAACAAACAACCGCGCCTTCTTCGCCTCCCGCGCCCGCATCCGCTCTGCATATTCTACTTTGACCAAAGGACGCCATTTGGCGCAACAGTAGCGAGGTGTGTGCGGGAACAATGTACTATATCACGAACCCGGATATTATGAACAAGGTTTGTCCCCTTCCCGCATGCGGCATGGTCAGCCCGCGCTTTCTTAATATCGAAAGTATGATCGGTTGGCGAGGGCTCATGTGTATCTTGGTAATGGGTGATAATGCCTTGGTGTCATTAGTTCGAGACGGCTGGGAAGCGGCGTGGGGAAGGGATGGAGGTATTTGGAAAACGGTAGTTGGGGACATAGTGGTGTTGGTTGTGGACTAGGCATTGAGCTGGGTCTTGAGGCATCGCGTTTGGATAGGGATGGACTGCTTGCTTGAATACACTCTGATGTGGTTCCCAAATGAGTGTCAGCGCAATTATTTGGAATTGAATTCTTTCAAGCTTGTTGCTGTAGCTCACATGCGCTTGATGCAAGTACTATACCAGCATGAAGTTTGACTTGTTGCATCCGCGACCGACCGCAACTCCGATGACACCACCACCACCTGTAAAGCATCATGCCATGCGCATCCAGATCTCATGATAATGTCGACATGTAACATGAAGCTTAAGCATCTGATCTCATCTTCGCGGCCATACTCGTCTCAGATGCGCATCTCAAACTGCTTGATCTGAAACCCATAGTTGTGGTTGAGACACAAGCCACAACCCCGGCATTGACACACGGTCATCAGCGAACATGATGCGCATAATAGCATTCCAAATTATTGATATCAAGTGCGGGTTATGATTTACATGCGATCGCATATCGCGTATCGAAGTTGCGATGGAAGACCCGGGTACAGGTATTTGACATTAGATGACGGGTGTCATGCCTTGAGAGATGGACGTAGGAGATGAACATGAGCCACATATTACAAATGGGTATTCTGAGGACCAAGCGCAAAATGCAGTCGTTGGCTCGAAGACCGTAGTCTAGTGAGACATGCAGAGTGTGAAGGAGATATCTGGCAAGATTGTGTCGCGTAGCAAGAAACAACGATTATGTATAGAAGAGAATAGATGCAATGCGTGGATGTAAATAAGCAATAGCATATGACGATACCGCCAGTGATGTACAAAGGAAAAGATGTAGTGACGAGTAAAACAAAGACCAATGAGAATGCGCCCCTTCCGACTCTGCCTGGGTATCGTTTCCTTCTCTTTCACTCCCTACACCCTTGTTGTGTATCCGGAACGCTGGCCGACTCTTTCTCAATGCCGTCCATGTCAACTCAAACCTCCAACAGCTCCCTGGATGATGTGATACCAGCCCGAGCCGTCTCTTTCCCAACGCCACCGCAATGCTGGACTCGCTTGGAATGTGTCGCGCGTCGAAGGAATAATCGTTCGTAGTATCCAAAGTATGCAGGTAATTTGTAAAGGAGTGTGTATTGGAAGAGGAAGGGTATACCGTTGGCCCAAATCGTGGTACGTCGTAAAGGAAATGTGTTTAGTGATTAGGAGGCTGGTGTGTGCCCCAGAAGAGTATTGCAAATGCCGAAATCGACCACAGAGAGGCAGGTTTGTGTCCAGCACAAACCCCGCAACACTGCCCCCCTTCCGCATACGCGCATGCTTGTTGTTCATATTTTTTGTTCTCACCATGCACGCAAGCCCTCGAACTGGCCAGCCAGCCCATCGCAGTTAGAGTCGGCCAGTCATTGGTAACTTGCGCCGGGATCGCTGGGACCAGCTGCCATCTGAGACGAGGAGTAGGCACCCTGGTGTTGATGTTGTCGATGTTGTGATTCTTCCTCCTCCTCTTCCTGCGCAGCCAACTCCACAGCCTCAAGTGCCTCGGCCTTGTCCTTGCACGCGGCGGGCGAGAAGCCACTGCCAACCTTCGAGGAGATGATGCGCCATCGGTCGTTCTCGTACTCCTGCATGGCGTTGCGAAGCTTTACCACCTGTATTGCCGGTTATGGTTAGCATGTCGGAGATTGTGGATGCGATGCACGACGTCGCGCGTTTCATGACTAGGGTTGCGACTTACCATATCATCCGTCCAGACAGTGGTCTTTGCTTTGAGCTTCGTGCAATACCGTACTTGGAGTGTGCCAGAACTGCGGCCAGGGAAGAAGTCGGCGATTTGCTTCCATGTAAGGTTTTTCTTCTCTTTGAGGTCGACGAGTAACTGGTCGTCCTCGGGCGTGAACTTGAGCTTTGGGCCGCGGGGTCGTTGCGCTGGCGGGGGCATCCCTTCTTGACCGACTACGCTAGGAGGGCCATGGTGTTGAGCGGGAGAGGGAGGTTGGCCCTCCATCGGGTGATGTCTCTTACTGCGATGAGTATTTGGCAGATGGTGGTGATGTGTGGGAGGTAAAGAGGACTGTGGAGCGGGCGGCGGATACTGTTGAAGGGAGTAACCCTGGGTCGCGTGTTGTAGTGAGACGCTTCCCGTTGCTTGTGCGTAGGGATTGAGCTGCTGCTCTAAGCTCGGAGGCAGTTCGTGCTGCAAGTCGTCCTGGTGGCTGCGCTTGCGTCCGGCGGTCTGCTGGGGCGGCGGTGGGTAGCCCACGTTGTAGGAAGATGGCGAGTGTTGCGACATGGAGTGGTGGCGCAGAAGATGGGGTTGATGTAATGAATGTGTGTCGATGTCTGTGTAGGTAGGGTGGTGGCCGGCGCCGGCATGTTGCAGCGTTTGAGACTGGTGTGGCTGCAGGAAGGAGTGAGGGTGGTATCCCGGAGGCAATCCGGTATGGGAATGGAGGACATTTTGATGTTCGACGTTTGAGGTCGGTATGTGATGTTCTTCCCCGGCATCGCCTGGTACGCTGTAGTCGAGGAAAGGGCCTCGATAGGGACTCGCCAGTGTTGCGATCACGCATGGAGACTACCAGAGCTAGGTTGCTCTGGCAGGCCGCCGCAGTGAGACCTGAGCCAGAAAAAGGATGCCTGGTTTGAGTTGGTGTTCGGAGTTGCGATGGCTGTATCGCACGCGTTTGGGTATTTCGAATTTTGTTATATTGACAAATGTTGGAGCAAGAAAGGCCTAGGGGAACGCGCCATCGGTCGAGGTCTTATCGCGTGTGTTAAGCGTCTGGGTTGTCGAATATAGGTTGTAGCCTTGTAGGGAACAAACGAAAAGTACGTATGGCTGGGGATGCTCGTGGAATATAAGATTCCTGCCTGATGGGAGAAGGCATTAAAAATCTCGGGCAGTAGGTCCCTTCAAAAGCCCGGTCCGTCTTGTGCGATTGCCACACGGACACAGGATCCAAGCATGTACAGCAATGGGTCGTCCCCACGAGACGCTCTGTTCCTGAGGAGCACCAAATGAGCTTAGTAGGGAAGGCCCAGGAACTGATTCTACGTCAAGCATAATGCGGTGATCAATGACAAGGAGGGGACCCCCGGCATGCGATCTGGACGAGTACAATGCTCGCAGACGTGGGTCGTGAGTGGCTGCTGATGCAAAATGAGATGGGCATGAGGTACTGTGCCCGGCTTGCGAGGGTCGGTGGGGCCCGGGGCGTGCGCGGTCCATGCCATCGTCGTTTATTTCTAGAATGCCGCCAGAAAGATCTCCAACGCCGTTGCAGGCGCTGCAGGAGGGATCCTGGCGCAGCGTGGTGGCCAGGAGATGTGCATTGAAGACGTTCTGAACCGGCTAGCAACACGGCAGGGGCTCGAGGCGATTCCCCGAAGAGGCAGCGCCACGAGCGAGCGCCGTCTGCCAGATTGATGAGACACAGTCTACCAGACGGAGCCAGGAGCGCGGGAGAGGTGCTCGGGTCATGCTCGGAGGCGAGTGCTTCCAAACGGCCTGGCAGAGGGGTGCTGTGACAATGATGGCATTTTTTCATGGCATCTCAATGGCATACACGCCCGGTGCCTCAGTCGACGGCACTTCATGCCTGGAAGAGCCTTACCCGGGCTCAGGGCCCCATGAAGCATGATGGTGCTGGCGAAGAAGCGGTACTCGGATCAGGGCAGGACAGCTGTCGATGCCGGCATTTACGCAGCCGTAGCACCCGCCTGTAAGCAGTGGGACCGAGCGATGGCAGGGCTCTCGGTCATGGTTCTCTAACGCATAGGCATGATGGCCTCAGATTGGCTCATGCGTGGGCCGTTTCAAGGTATAGAGTCAGACCCTGCCCTATATGCGCTTCGTCACCCCCCATGAGTTGGGATCTACCAGCCACAGAAATATCCCGACGCCCGCATTGGATGACGCACTTCGGCCTGCTGCAGACGCAGCGGGTGTACGGAGTGCTGGTGGCAATTAGAAAGTATACCTGAGACAGCAGCCAGGTGTTTGAGGAGGGCGAATGCGTGAGGCGTTGTGGGGAGAAGGAGCAAGCGAGGACGACAGCGGGCTCGCCTGAGTAGCGAGTTCCCGATTTTAGCGTCGACGTCGAATCGCAGCCGGCCGCGATCTTCTGGCCCGCAAGCCTCGCATACAGGTCATCTCTCGACTGCATGGGCGAGATGAGGCATCGCGAGTCCAGTGCGTCGTGCCGCTGCCTACACGGTCGCCCTATGTGCGCCACGACGGATGCGCTCGCCGAAGAGGCAACCGCATCCTCCTGGCGCGCCCTCACCACCAGCCGCTCTCACGTGACGCCTTCACAACAGACGCGCTCCCTAGTTATCTTATAAATTATACGCTCCTCTAAGATTCTGTGCGTTTAACCCTTGCGCTAGCGCTACGCTAACACGCTAGCGTAGTACTAAAAACTTCTTAAAGCTGCTAAGCTAATTATAGCTTAGAAAATAAAGGTATTAAATACTATAAAACTTCTAGACTAATAAGTAGACTTAAACGCAAATCTCTATAAAGCGTCTAAAAGAAAATAGTACTAATATTAGTAATATAGATTTTAGTATTATAATAATATACTATTATTACTTTAACTTTATACTTTACTTACACTATAATATTACTTTATTATATTAGATATACTATTTAATAGCGCTTATTACGCTCTTTTAACTATATCTAAAATATCTATTATTACTATACTTAGTTTACTTACTTACGCGTTACTTTTTTTATTAATACTTATATTATTACTACTATTTTTTCTCTAGTCTCTAAGCTTATAATATCTTAGTTAAATATATATACCTACGCTATATTTAAGATATAAGTAAAATAAAGCCTATAATAAGCGTAGTAATAATAAGTTAATAAATACTACTAAAGAAACTATAATAGAAGATAATACTAGTAAATAGACTTATTATACTTAGCGCTTATATATATAGTAGGTATCTACGTAGTATAAGTTAACTTAAGTAGTTAAAGTTTTTTAATAATATAAATAGTTATTCTAGAACTTTATCTATATATAGGTAATAAAGTAGTATATAATAGATAGTATAAGAGCTAGTAGTTATAAAAGATAATAATAGACGCTACTTAAAGTAGTGCGTACTCTATAGTTAGATTATAGTATCTATAGTAAGAATATACTATTAGCTTATAAATATAAGTTATTATAACTTATAAAAAAGAAAGCGTTTAGTATATTTAAAGCTAGTATAAGTATTAACGTAGTTAATTACTATACTACTATATAAGCTATTAAGAAACGCGTACTTATCTAGTACGCGTTTATTCTTTACTATTTAGAAAATAAAAAGTAAAAGAAGACTTTAAAAAACTATAAGGCGCTATAGTAGTAACTCTACTTTATTACTAGTATAGTATACTTCTTACGCGTAAAAAAGAGGTTAAATATACTATCTACTTATATTAGTCTCTATTTATAGAGATCTAGTATATACTAATATATTATTAAGGTTCTTACTAGCTTTAGTATATACTATACGTACTATTATATTAATAGTAAAATAGATAAGATTAGTTAACTTATATAGGTAAGGTACTCTTTTTATATAACTTCTTCTAGTATATAAACTTCTATAATATTATTAAAACTTCTATAATCTTCTAGAATCTTCTATTTATATATTATTTATTAACTCTAGTAGTAGAGTTAATTATAAGCGTAGGCATATAATCTCTATATAGTTATTATATATAATAATATTAACTTTATAGATTATAAATAATATAAGAACGCTAGTTATATAGTAAGCTATTAAGCTTTTACTAATATAGCTTTTATTATATATAATAAGTTACCTACTAATAGACTTACCTAAGATATATATAATCTATCTATACCTCTTTTTCTTTATAATATTATAACTAGTTTAGCGTTAACTAGAGATAATAATATTAGGCGTTATATATCTAGCTTACTTATTACTAATATAGTCTAACGCTTATATCTAGAGAGCGTAAAAGTAGTATTTAATTATAATAGTAACTCTTTCTATCTAGCTTTCTCTATTATTAAATAGTTACTACCTTACGTTACTTAGTACTAGTAATTTACTAGTATTCTATAGAATAAAAGTACTATTAAGAGTATGTATACTATATATAAAGATATATTCTTGCGTTAGTTAGGCTTAAAGGCTACTAATAAGCTTAGTAAAGTTAATAACTTTACTTATTATCTTATATTATATTATAGAGACTAGCTTACTACTAACTATATATAGTCTACTTTATAAGAGCAGCGTTACGTAAAGCTACTATATAATAGATAGTAGTAGATTTAACTACTTTCTATCTAGTTTTATATCTAAATAAACTTATTAGCTACTATTATCTATACCTATTAGGTAGCTAATTCTAGTTTTTATACTATACACTTTCTTATTACTAATATAACGCGTTAGAACTATTTATATAGTACTAAAGATAATATAAAGTACTACTTAATAGAGCTAGTTATTATTTAGAGGTTTACTTTATAGATTAGAGTACTTTTTTATATAGCTATAAAAGACTATAAACTACTACTAGTTAATACTAAGTAGAATTTTTAGCGTAAGGTAGTTAGAAACGCTATATTCTACTTATTAGTACTATAATTTATAAAGCTTATTAAAGATGTCTAATCTACTACCTTTATCTTATTAGCTTAGACGTCTTCTAGTCTAGACGTTAACTTCTATACTATATATTAGCTTCTATAAAAGGTTAAGCTATTCTTAATACTACGCTATATAGTTAAGTATAGTAATATTAGTATACTATAGCGCTTAGTAGATTCTCTTATTATTATATTCTTAGAGGTAAAGTAGTATAACTATAGTAAAAAGATACTATATTATTAATAGTATCTATTCTCTATAAATACGCCTATTCTCTAGTAGTTAATATTATTATTAGGTTTTATAAACTAGTATAGGTAGTAGTCTACCTTTAAAGCTATTAATCTATACTTTAAGTATCTTAAC